GTTTGGCATTATAGGATGCTATCATGCAAGGTACTCTAACAACCTGCCTTCTCTCTCATGGTCTATCTCCCTGCAGATTCAGCTTGCATCAGCTGTCCTCCTATGCCCACAATCCAAATGCCATGGGATACTATGCCAGACAAGTTTTCCAGTACTTCCCAGGAAGTAACAACTGGGAATACTCTAGCTCCACCTTATCTTCCTGTGTCTTCCTTTAAATAGTTCACATTGCTCCCATTTAGGTACCAGTTAATAGTCATAATTACTGCAATCCCTCTCTGTATATTCGCTAATACTTCATTTCTCCATGAGCATAAAGACATAAAATAGTACACTGGAGGTTAGCTATGATTAGGAGGAGTCATTCTAACTGTAAATTACTCATAATCCAAGATCTTTCCTGATGAGCATGTATCAGTTATCATAAAAGAGGCTATGATGATAATATATACAGTGAGAAAAGAATTAGTTTAGAAATTAAGTGAATTTAGATCTAGGCTCACCTCGTCTATTTTGCACTGTGACATTGAGCAGGTCATTTTCTCTGGGCTTCAGGTGCCTCATCTTTATTTTGTGCATTTATATATACAATTCTAATTGGTCCGATGGGAATTGCACAGCTAACACCGTCACGCACCAAAACAATAAAATACAGTGGAATTTAACTGAAGTGAGGGAATAAAACTACCGCACTATGCAGATAGACTATCTGCCTAGTAACAGAAGACATTTCTTGCACTCTGGTACTTCAGCCAAATGTCTTCTGAGGCTGAGGAGAAGACAATATAACCCACTGCCAGATGGAACCCACATCTGTTCCACCATTCTCCTTGTCATTGGCTTTCCTGGGATGCTTTCAGAATGATACATTAGTAAAGAAAAAAAAAAAACAGCAAGGAAAAGGCTACAAGGGGAAGGGTTTTTCTAGGACTTTTGGATATATCTAATCATTTCTTCACGGAATATTATGTCAGGTCCACTCAAAGCTCATCCTTCACAACTCACCCAACATTTGACATTCTTCTTCTATTTAATACAAGTCTTCCTAAGATTTTCTTAAATGCTACCTACAAAGTCTGCTTATGAATTTTTTTCCTTACCACCGAGTTCCCAAAAAGTGACAGGGACTGCCTAAATAGTTAGCTACCTGCAAGGCTGCTCAAATCCAACTTTCTTTCCCACTGTACTTTGCATTCTGCTCTCCCTTTGCCCTTCTTTCCTTAGGCCCTCAAGTGATGATAGCTTTTGCTCTAGCACTCTAGAAAGCAGTTACAATTTTTATCCAGAGTACATAGGGAAGAGAAACTGGAGTGGGTAAAAGGAAGCTCAGCACTGGGAATGCTGGTACTGGGAGAGACTGTGGCAACCCCAGGAAATACAAGAACCCCTCTAAAGTTCACCTTTACCAAGCCAATGGAAAGAGTATAGCTGAGTGGGGTTTAACTTTTGAGAACTATTCAAATGACTCTTCAGTTACCATGTAATTGTCTTGGTGCTCCATTTGCTATAATTGATGGGAAGGGTACAAAAGTCCTTCAACTGGTTTTCCTTGCTCCCTCCACCTTTTTGAGGAGTTGGACCTATGACCAGTACTTTTCCTGTCTACCCATTCAGTGAGTAGAATGGCTAGCTAAATTTTAGACCCCATTTAAATTATTCCACTTCAAAATTTGAATGACAAATGCTTGCGTAAGTCTACTAGCCTCAGTAACCTTATCTTTTCTCATGACCAAGTGTAGAAGAGTAAACTGACAGGAGGCACAAATTTTGGGGGATGTGGGTTAGGCTGGCACAAAATCAAACTACAAGCATGCAGTGATCACTTCATACTCACACCATAAAAAATACAAAAGCTGAAAAATACTATCAAATGCTTTGACATTTCTGACCTTTCCTCACTAACCAGGAGACATTGTGTTTTTTATTTCCCCTCCATTCAAATTTTACAAAAGAAAGAACAGAATTTGAGGACTAAGGCACCACAAACACAAGAGTAAGCACAGCAAATATGGCAAGGGAACTGAAGTAAGCCCCTGTGGGAATAGGATCTGCTGAAGGAGTCAAGAGGGATGGACAAAGGAATAGAAAATACCCAAGAATAACTTCAGGATGTCTTTCCTTACCTCCTCACCTGCTTACCCTCTGTCCTACATATCTAGCCTTGCAAAGAAATAGAAGTAAACAGGAAAGTCCATGTAGGACCATCCCAGTTCAAAAGCAACCCCCCAGGATATGGGTTAACTTTTATCACCTCAAACTACTCATTTATAATGACAAAATTCAACTGTTAACACATAGGCTAGAGTTGTTCAGGCATCGGTTTTAACAGTATATGTACTAGGCCAGGAGCGGTGTCTCACACCTGTAATCATAGCACGTTGTGAGGCTGAGGCAGGCAGATCACCTGAGGTCAGGAGTTCAAGACTAGCCAGGCCAACATGGTGAAACCCCATCTCTACTAAATTACAAATATTAGCCAGGCATGATGTAGTGCCTGTAATCCCAACTACTTGAGAGGCTAAGACAGGAGAATTGCATGAACCCAGGAGATGGTGGTTGCAGTGAGCTGAGATCACATCAGTGCACTCCAGCCTGGGTGGCTGAGCAAGACT